TTTTTTGATCGTTCACGCTGAATTCGATGCTCATAAAAAAATAGGGCTTTCAGCGGTACGGGTTTTCGTAAAACTACCTTTAACAGCTCAGAACCTCAGAAACATGCCAACTTGGTTTTTTCAAGTAGTGATAAAAAAATTAACTTTTTTACATAGAAGAAGCAGCATCAAATCATTGTATCAAGGTAAAGCAAAATTATGGGGCACGATTTTTTTGTACATCTTATATCTATAAAGATTGATGATTACTGACCAAATAAATATGAACGCCAGTTGTATGAGTGACATATAACTGGCAGCGTACCTTGTCGCTCATCTCTTAGCGGGCTTACCTGTCAACCAGACTTGCTTGGATATCTCCTAAATTAGTGTTTAAAGTTCAAAAGTTTCGATCATTGTTTGATGAAAGAATTGTTTGGTTTTCGTTTTTTTTTTCGAAAATGCACTCAGAAGCAATGATAAGTGTAGAGAGCCTTTTTCGAATTTGGGTTTCGTACTGAACTTTCTTCACAACAATCATTTCTATTTGCGCATATGGCAGATGTGCAAAGCAAACTGCCTCCATTGTCAAAGCTAGCTGTGTAATTGAAATGGGTGTGCTTTGAGTTGCAATAGAATACATTTTTGATTACGAATGCTCCGTTGGTGATTTCTTATCTTTATCTTTATCTTTATCTCTACACTCAAAGTGTACCATTAAACTATGAAAAACTTTTAGCGTGGGGCCAGTCGTCCTAGACATTCAAAGAACAACAAAGGGAGCTCGTACTTTGAAGAGTTAAGCAAAATAATGTACGGGATAGTCTACTCACAACAACGAAAAAAAGATGCACTCAAATGCAAGTAAAGTTTACGGCTATTCATGAATTGGAATGCCAGGTGAATAGCAGTGGGGACTGCTATCGCTAAAGGATAATCGGAGCGGTTCAAGCGAGGGTATTGGTTTAGCTAGGTATCCACCAACCTAACTCTCCAAGCTTTAAACAGACCTGACAAATTCATTTAACAAACCAGATTTATGCTTAAGCCGCCATTCCTTTCTTTTCCATGCAGGTAAATCAAATCATTCAATTACTTGCTAGAAAGAACAGAGGTAGTGTAAGATTTTCGTGAAAAACTAGATAATCGGCACCGTTTTGCTCTGGGACCTCTAGTAAAGGCAAAAATGACCGCACTCCACATGAAAAATGCTAGACGTTGAAAGCTTTGCCACTATGGGTATTTGTCGAGTCTATATGAACACTCCCTAATCTTACGATACCTTCATGGACAGACAAGCACCGCAGCGAACCGAAATAAATCATCCCTTTTATGGTTTCGAGTGTTCCATAGGTAATTTTTCGTGCAGATTCGAAAAATGAACAGTTACTGCAAGAAAAAAAGTCACTAATGTTTGATCACCATTTATATTGTGTGATTTCAGACAAAGAAGTGACTGAAACCACATTTTATCTGGACACTGCAGGCTATATTTAGGAATTTCAAGAGAGCTGGTTTATGTATGAACTTTAGTTTGTGACCTTCGGTAAACAAAGTTTGAGCAGGTTTTTCTAAGGTAATCAGTACTAGAAAATGAACTTTCTGTGAAAGCGCAGACAGACTGCGTCAAAAAAAGATCACTTAAAAGTGATTTCTTGGACTGAGTAAGTGGTGAATTTGCCATCATCGAGCTGATTTGCCTTATGACTCAGTGTGTTCTTCGTATATTTGTCATTAATGTTGGCTTATTGCAAGCTTGTTCAGGAAGCAGCATGATGCTTGGATAATGCAACTATACGTCTGTGAGTTGTCGTAAATTTTCGATATTTTCTAAATACGAGCTTCAAGGCATTACTTCAACAAATGATTATAGCATTAGTGTTCGGCAATGCGAACACCTCACTGTGTGAAATATCGCCTTTTGAGATTGCGAATTTTTGACCGCCGATGGAGGTTCCCCAGCTACCGTACGTACAGCAGATTGCAACTCACCAGATCTCAACTCACTGCAGTATTTCTATAGGTGTTCCAACCTCTAGCAGTTATGTATACACATTCGGACCGGTGTGCACGACTTAAGATGCGAACGGCTTTGTTTTTGCTTGTAACCCCATTATTTGAATTTACCCTAATTTCACGCGTATAAGGCGCGGGGGATTTTTTTTCCAAAATCGACCAGCTCAGACACGCTAAAGGACTTTACAACCAAAGGACCCTATAACGTGCTGTATATTGTTTGAGAGTGTGCGATGTAAGGATTTCTTTCCGGGATGCAGTGAATCGGCTGAGCGGCTTGCTTGAAAATTCGAAAAAGTGCGTTTTTTATGCGTGAAGTGAAGGTAATTCCAGTTTTCTTTCTCTAGTTTCATTTTTATTTAAAATGGAAATGTCTTCTATTTCGATACTAGAAATTGAGCAGTTTGTGCAAGCGTTGCATCATAACCTACATAATCTCTAAAAATATATCATTAAAAGCTTCGTCTAAAAGTTACGGAATTATTTGCAAAATCTAGTCCCCAATACTAAATGGCTTGTTGCGCAACTCAGAAAAGCCTAACGCTGTTTTAATAATAGATCCAAAAGACGAGGTTTGGCGCTTAATTGTTGATACTCAGAAAGCATAGCCAGTTCAACGCCAAGTTAAGTCACAGCGAATTATTAGGTCGGTCCAAAACTCTGTGCCGTTTTTCAAAATCCTCAGCAAACTAAAGGTAAACTAACGCTTCATACAGTGCTCGATGCAAAATTTCTTCCTCTTTCCGATGTTGTTTCTGTTCCGAGTATTTCAATAAGCAATAAAAGACTTTCATTTCAAATTTAAAAAGAGCTTTGACAGAGCTTGAAACCAAACTGTAACAGAATGCACTTCAAAGCATTTATGCTGAGCTGCAAAATTCTTCCTTTTTTGAAGCTAGCAAATTTTGAATTTGGGCATCTCAATCCTCATGGAACATCAGATTGCGAGCAACTAGGGTATAAATCGATGCAGCTCTTTCTCGCCTTTCTTAACACATTCACGACAATACGACCCACCTGTGGGTCGTACGTGTTCTGCCATTTCGGACAATACGACCCACCGGTGGGTCGTATGCTTTCTGACATTTTTGATTTTGCTAGTTCACGGCAAAACTTTCTAGGCAAACCGAGCAAACTTCTGTATACATTTCTTGGAGTACTTCCCGAAAGATCAGCACTTCAGACCACAGGATCCATCAGTGAGCTGAAAATATTACGCAAACTCAATTTTGCGAAATATGCTCTGGTCCGAAAGGGCATCATTAAAAAATCGGCTCTGTCGTGAATGTGTTTAGGATGTTTCTCATTTTGCGATAGTCTTTGTGGATAAAACATCATTGTTTTCGTACGCGTCTCTACCTGTAATCGAAAAACAAGAAAATTCTATTTTGGAACGCTCAGATGCTTGGTAAAATCAATTTTAAATCATTATCTATCTTTAAAAGTCCCAAGATTTATCAGTATTCGAAACGTTTGTATATATTACAATTCGTAAAAGAATTTTGTTTCAACGGTTTTGAGGGCCAGTTTGTAAAGCCCGACTACTATTGTATGCGTTTTGTTTGCTCTCGACTGTTGTCAAAGCTCTTCAAAAGTTAAAAATCAAGATTAAAAGTTAGCTCAAGTTAGGTAGGTGAAAACCTTGGGATGAAGATTCGGACAATATTCACTCAAGCATCAAGAGTTTGAAAGAGAACATCACTGCTAGAAAGGCAGATTTTGTATTGAACACTGTTTATAGCGTTTGTCTATAATCATTTTGAGTAATTTGAGGATAGTTTCGAGTAAAGACACGAACTTTTGGACCGCTACTAGATGCCATTTCAATAACATTTGACTCGGTCTTTAGTACTTCCTGTTGCAGTTAGATTGGTAATCAGAATTTCTAGATAAAATCTATAATTAATACAAAAATTTCATTTATTGATAAATTCTCGCTAACAAAGGAAGGATACTTAGTTGACGTTTCCATACGAGATGTACTTTTTTCCAGATCATAGAACGCTGAATTGCTTTCGGTACCTGCAAAGCGCTCCCAAGAGGAAAGCTGTGGAAATTTTCTAGATAATTTAAGGGTTTGGCTAAGGACAATTGTTGAAGTCTCTCCGGCGCTCAAAAGAAGTAATGCTTGGCATATTAGACTGAAGATATCTACTCATGAAGCACCGTGGAAGTAGTCATCATAGCCTCATTTCCGCTTATGGAGACAGTCTTCAAAATTTTTATTGTAGCAACTTTCACCTGCATTAACTTCCCAAAACTTCCCTCACAGAAGCAAAGACAGAGGTTCAGACGTTTACATTTATGTGGAAAAACCCTCTCGACCAGGTATTCTTCCCTTGCAAGAATCATATCTAGTCATCATGACTTACCAAGTCAAAGTATAAAAAGTTAAAAAAAGGCTACAAGATAAAGTTTTCAACTCATAATCTTCTTCAAATGCATGTGAATAACTCTGTCCCTATTCTTACTAGTGAACAGACTTGATTGATTTTTGCTTGGAAATTAGCTTGCTAGTTGCATAAGAAAAGCGATTCTGGATTTTTTCTGCTCGCTTGATCAGCAAACAAACTTTGCCGATAGTGGACACCGAGACAGCAGCTGAATACAAAGGTTTGCCAAATAAGCTGTTCAAAAAGGAGTCATAGACTGTATCAAATGTTCTTTCACTACTGCATCAAATTATATCAGTACTGCAAACATGCATTATGTCTTGCAAGAAAGTTAACAACAGCTCTACATTTACTTCCCCAGTTTCAAACCTGTTTAGATGCGACTGCCATCCTGCAGATCATAAGACATATTCCACTGCACTACTGTTCTGTGAATGATTATAATGATTTATAGATGTTTTGTACTTCTGTAGCTCGCAAAGAGATGAATGACTGCAGACGAGTTTAATGGCAGATACATTGTTTTCTGTACTTGAATCAATCGAAATGTGGAAGATTCCATTCCAATGCTTTCACAGTATGGTATAACACGACAGCTAAAAACAATTTTACCTGTGACTGCATAACTTTGACACAGTCAGCGTCTTCGTTGCAAGAGCATTGACGAACATTAACGCCCAGATTCGACTCCTCTAACAAGCCCATTGCTGCTTCCGTGAGCTGAAATAGATTGAAATTTTAAATGTTTTCAGGTTGCTCAGTGCGAAGTAATCTGTTGTGACGACCAGTTTAGATTATTTGATCGTCTTTAACCTAAAGTTGGAAAGTATGCTTACAGATATGAGTGTTGCGTTACCAGAAAGATGTAATTACGGAAAATAACACCGACCTTGTCAAGCCTCGTATTAGCCGCGCGTACGTAAACTGCCGACAATAATACAAATAGTAGCCACACCATCTGAAGCAGTGATATCAGCTTGTTCGGTAAACAACAAGCAGTCTCAGTACATAAGTGAAATGCGAATATCAAAATATATGCACACGAAATCGAAACAACAAAAAACTACTGCAGTAGAAATGAGAAAGACGTCATGGATGCGACGATAGCTCACGACTAAAGCTGTAGTACTCGAGTAATGCAATATACAACTTTGGTAGTCAACGACATTTCACATTATCGAAGTTATTCGAGATTTTCGAAAACTAAGGGTGATATTACAACAATTTGATGCAATTATTGAATATTATTTGATTCTAAAGAGTGGTGAATCTCAGGCTATCTTTTTTCAGTAGTTCACATGTAGCTTTCATGAATTGCTTTTGAGCAAAACTACGAAATTTTCTTAAGATGCATATACAAAATATTTTTATTTTACTCAAATTTCATTGACAAAATTTTTTTTAATTAGAGCTCGATAATGCACTTTTCATTTAAGTTGACTTGCGTCATAGCAAGTCGTTTTATACTATGAAAACAAGACTTTAAATTAACAATTCAAAAATGAACTGCTCACTGATTCGAATGTCAGTTATTTTCAAGCACTTGGTTAAGCCTGAGATCGTAAGCGAGAATGTAATGTATGCAATTTCGACATCAAAGGATATAAGTAAGAAACGGACGAGAGAAGACAAAGGGCAGCAGTGCATTGTCAAGGCGCATTTTGGTGAATAATGTTACACAACGTTTCACCTCTCTGGAGTCGCCATTCAAAACCAGTTAGAGAACTGCTCGGCCATGCCCATCTTGGTTTTTTGAGTCCCGAGTAAGAGACATTCCTCTTTGACAAATTCAATCAACACTGAAGATGCGCAATCATTCACTTTCGCCTTGCGGGAGGCTGCCTGTGTTAGTATCAGGATTGTCATGTACTTGTCCTAAAACGCAATGCCGCTGACAAGGGAACGATACTGGGTGTACGTGGCCTTTTAAGATGAGGTGTATAACATTATACTCGTCTTGGATCGCTGATTCCGAATCTGACTTCGGTTTCAATCAATCGTTTCTCTGAAAAAAGTTAAGAAGGATTCTCGCGTCAAAGGACATATGGTTGGAATGCCGGTGATATAATGGTAGTGCAATAGCCTCACTAACTGATGCGGGGTTAGGTTCGATTCCTTTTGTGTTTTTCAATGTTGGATTGCCCAGTCAAAATTTTTGAGGTTAGAGATCCTTGACTTAATTCTTTTGGTCAACCATTAATGCGAAAATCTTTCATGATTTTTTCAAAGAAAAGTTTAGCAGAAACGGAAATTAGATTCTGAATTAGCGTTCCAAGGCGATGTAGTGGTATACGTATCATCTCAAAAGGCCAGGGATACCAAGTGTCGTTCTCTTGTGAGCCCTTCTCGATCCTTTTGTTTTCCAAAACATTAGAGAAAGTATGGATTGCTCAAAACTTTCATCGTTGTTAGTTTGAATGATTTACGGCGATTTGTTTTGTCGATTTTGTTTTGTTTTTTCGGATGACAGAGGTCGAATGACGAATCGGAAGGAAACGGTAAACGTGGGCTCCCTTTTTCAGATAACGACAGTTTTGATCTGTCACGGCAAATCCCTGCACTATCAGCAATGCGAACACTTTTCCAGTAGAAAGTATGTAATGTCGCGGAAATGCATTCAATCAAGTAACTCGACTGAAAAATCTAGGCTCGAGTGATGAGCCTTCTCCTTCATGATCTCTTACAACACAATGAGAGCGGATAATTTTCTATGTATGTTTTCAGTTCTTGCGTTGTTACTTGACGGAGCCAAAATTTTGAAAGTCTAGTTTCAGCCTTTCATGTCGAAAGGCATGACCGTCTCAAAAATTCAACATTATGAAATTAATAAGGCAATCTTTAATCAGAGAAGTTGAGGTAGATCTCCGCGGCCAATCAAAATCTTAATGACTGCTAAAGTTTTTCAGAGTGGGAGAAGTTATTTCACATCTAATCATGCATATTCCATCCACTTGTTGCGATAGCAGCTTGTTTATGTAACCGTAACCCCCTTCGAAATTAAGCGATTTGAAATTCGGCCTATACATATGGCACGACTTACTTGGACAATTACTCAAGCAGCATAAGGGAAAACTTCTCTATGATATAAGTACCGCCGCGTAGCATCCAGCGGAATCGTCGACTTCGTCAATCGTCGTCACTTGTTAATGCCAGTTGACGAAGTGCTACAAAGTGCTACGCAAAGCCCATTTGTTTTCCTTCCTAGCAGAACAAAGCCGTTCCATTGATTCAGCAAGAACTTATCGACATGCAAAAGACTGAGAAAACAGGCCAACTTCTAATATACAAAACTCGATCAAGCATTTACGCTGTCTTCAATATTTTGACATTTTAACTGTCTGAAATAATGGTGTGGAGTTCAGACAAATTATAAGTGCTTGAAAATTATTAGAATGTTGTATACGTCAAATTTTTTCGTTATTTGCTCATTCACAGATCTTATTTGTTATTCGTTAAAATATTTGTTATTTGTTTATGGATCGTATCGATTATTTATTACTGGATTGTCCGAAAATTAGTGTAGGTTTTTTACGCAATCGCGTAGTGCTAATCTTAAAATGTGGGAAACATATCATTCGATAGAGTAAAGCAGTCTACAAGACTGCACTAGAACGATCGCAAAATTTATCCTCGTAAGGTTTGGAAGCAAAATCCAAAAGTGGAAGTACCCAAAAATCGAATTCTCTACAAAAAGGTCCTGCGGACTTCCGATTGGCCACGCATATGCTCTCTACAACAGTTTATATGCACACTTACCCCATTTTTACAATGGCTGAATATCCAAAATTTAAAACGGTCAAAAATATGAAAAAGTCGCCTTTTCGGTTTTTCATGCTAAATTCAATATTTCTCGTATACTAGCCCTACGGTTGTACTTCTAAAGTCTTGTAGTATAGAGTGTCTATGTCAGAATGGCTCAGCGTTGCAACTGCTAGGACATGTCAACTTTCATTTTCTGAAAATTCTAACCGTGAAAGAAACATCTCAATTGTACATATGAATGTTTGATGTGGAGAAACAGTTTATATGCACATATGTATTAGGTCGTCCCAAAAGTATTTTCGTTTGAACAAGCGCCACAGTCCGCAGAACAAAGGTATACAAAAGCTCTTGGTAGCATTTGATGCAGTTTTTCATGCTCTTTCTGAAGGTCATCTCCATAACGCAGATGAGGCAACGAGCTCTCAGAAAATTGCTACAAACTGCAACTCATGCTTTTTACCAAGGTCAGGTTCAGCTATTTTTCTAAATTCTTGTACTGATTTCCCGAAGAAGTCCAAGTGACCTGTCGATAGAGCAAACAAAGTAGGATGCAATACAATTTCTGCCCGTTCCATAGCTCACTTTGAAAATTTTTTGAAATTAGTTTTTCGATGCTATCAAATCCCATATTTGGTCAACTTAAACCTCATAGAACAACAGCAGGCGAGCAACTCGAGTGTTATTCGACGCATCACTTTCTCCTCTTTCTTAGACATGTTTTTTGTCCCTGATTCGAGAAGTCTTGGAGGATAAAATCGACAAAATTCATGTTTTTCAAGAAACCCCAGGCTGTACGCGACAATTAGAAATTAGATATTTCGAACCCCGGAACGCTCAATTGTTTCGTAAAGTTAATGGTAAATCCCAATCCACTTTAAAAGTATCAAAAATCGAGAGTTTAGTGAAGTTTGACGAGTCTGCGTCTGGTATAGAACTTCAAAAATTCGACGGTGTTGTTCAAAATTCTGTCAAAAAGTTATGGGGAGCCCTGGAAAGGAGATTGAAACTGTTCTGTATCCTACTTTCTTTGCTCTATCCGCTGGTTACTTGGACTTCTTCGGGGGATCAGTATAAGAATTTAGAAAAATAGTAGAACTTGACCTTGGTAAAAAGCATGGGTCGCAGTTTATTGCAATTTTCTGATAGCACATTGTTTCAACTGCTAAATAAAGATGACCACTTGAAAGAGAATAAAAAACTGCATCGAATTCTATCAAGAGCTTCTGTTAACCTTTGTTCTGCGGATTGTGGCGCTTGTTCAAAAAAAGCGAAAATACTTTTGGGACGACTTAATATATGCATGGCCAAGTGGAAGTCCGCAGGGTGTTTTTGGATGAAAATCTAATTTTCGGGCGCTTAAATTTTTTTGCTTTAAAACTTCACAAACTTCTCGCAATCGTTCTAATGCAGTCATGTAAAGATGTAGCTTTACTCAATAATGATATATTTCAAACATCTTTATATTAGGATTGCGATTGCGTAAGAGACCTGCATGAATTTTCGGACAACCTAATGTTAGGATTAAGACCTTGGCAAGAAAGCAAATTGAAAGCTTGGCTGTAAAATCAAATCAAAGCAAGTCTAAATCTTCTGTTATGAGAGAAAAGCAACTTCAAGCACATCTCCTGTGAATGACTGCAGAAGTTGAGGTAACCTGGATAGGAATAAAAGCTCTCTTTGTGATCAGCGCCTTCAATAACTCTTTTTAGTAAGCTCTGAGATACATGTATAAATAGTTTCGCCAAAAGCAGGAATAAGTACGAACAAAGTACAAATATGGTGGATATGGAAGAAATCGAAAACTGCCCGCTCGTAAATGTCAAAGCGGGCGAACGATGGGTCAAAAAGCGATAAAAATTTTGATAGCAGATATGCAACTATCTGGTCCTAAAAAAACTAGTGTGAAATTCCCTTTTTCTGGTCTACCTCTCTGGTGCAGTCAGTTACCAAGCTGATGAATTAGTTTTTCACCAAAATTTTTGAAACTTGATTTCGTGATTTCCTCCAGCTGCAACGAAATTGATCTACTCAGATTATCACAAAAAACTAAACATTGCGCTGACCATATTTGCTTCACTTGTGATTGCGACGATATGATGCCGCCATAAAAGCTAGCTAAAGAAAAGAACTATTGGAAGGTGACTCTACATTATCAGTAACTAGCTGCTTATACTCTACTAACACTAGTTCTAGATCTGCTATCGTTTTATAACAT